CTCTCTCTCTCTCTCTTTCTCACTCTTTCTCTCTCTCATTCTTTCGCTCTCACTCTTTCTCTCTCTCTTTCTCTCTCTCTCTCTCTCTCTCTCTCTCTCTCTCTCTCTCTCTCTTTCTCCTTTTCTGCCACTCCCTCTTCATTCTCCCTCTGTCTCTCTTTCTCTGTCTCACTGTCTCTCTTTCTCTCTCTCTCTCTCTCCTTTTCACTCTCTCTATGCCTATTTTCCTTTCTCTCTCCCCTCTACACCCTCCCCTTCCACCACCTGTTTCTCTAACCTCTCACTCTGTCTTCCCACTTTAAAAATGGATATTTTATCTCAAGCACTTATTTTTTGTGGGTGGTTGGCGGGTGCTCTGGTGTGGTTTGCTCCTTCTTTCCTATAAAAAATCTATCGTCCTTATCTCCTCTTCTTCTTTTTTGTGTTACGTTCTTTGTGCGCTCGTCTCCGAAGCGGAAAGTCAGGGTTCGAGCCTCGGTTCGGACACGGATTTTTTTCGCCCCCTCCCCTCCCACCCAGCAGTTATGGGTACCTGACTTCGAGTTGGGGAAGTAAAGGCGGCGTGGAAAGGAACTGGCCACCCTACCACAATATGCCGAAGACCCAGGAAGTTGTCTCACTAACAAGACAATCCCCATTGTCCGGATCGGATGTGGGAACAACTCCACTCTCTTGTAACACCTCTAATCATCGGTACTTGTATGACTTTAAATGTTTTGCAAGTGCTGTAAAACTCATACTAAAACTAAACTAAGGCTGAAAACGTATTTTCTTTCCGTCTCTCTATCTCTTTTAAACGTTTCCAGCCAGTTCTGTCCTTTCTGTTGTTGCGTAGACCTTTTCTCACGTTCTTTCGTTTTTTTATTTTTTAAAAATTGTTATACATTCTGTCTTTGTTTCTTTAATATTTTTAAACTTTGTTTTTCTTTTTTTTCCTGTTATCTATCTTTTTAAATGCTTTCTGTCTGTATTTCTTTCTTTCTTTTTTTCTTTCTTTCTTTCTTTCATTCTTTCTTTCTTTCTTTCTTTCTTTCTTTCTTTCTGTCCGGTCTTTCTCTTTTCGTATTTCTGTTTTTCTTTCTTTCTCTTTTTGTCTTTTTTTGTCTTCTTTTTCTTTTCCTGTAATCTTTCTTTTTTAAGTAAATGCTTTCTGTCATTTTGATTTTTCATTTTCTCACACTCC